GGTCGGTGGGGGGGGGCTCACGCCTCTGCCCGGGGTCCCGGGAGTCCAGCTGAGGGCTGTCTCGGAATTAGAGCAGGCTGTATCCAGGCCACGAAATTAAAGGTGACTTTTCCAAGGAACGCGGTTTCTTCGCTGCATCTCTGAATCGCTGGTCTGAACAGCGGTGTTGTGGGCGCAGCGTCAGTGGACGGATCCCCAAATGAGATTTTCGACAGCAAAAGGCAGAAGCTCGAATGAATGGGCTTGAGAGTTTTGCTGCTTTACGATCTGAGTGTGCTTTTTCATTTCAGATGCACTATCCTTGCAAAACTTCAAGGAAAATGTTGAATAGCTTTATATACCGTACCTGCTGCCGAGAGATCTGCTGGGAGCAGGTTCCGTATAAGCCCGACATTTTTGGCAATGCTGTGTAATATTCGGTAATTTCCTTCAGTGGTGGGCATGAACAGCAATTCCTCTCAAAGCTACGCATGGCTAAGTTTGTCAGATGCTCACAACAGTATGTTCATCCAGTCTTCAGCTGCACTGAATGTTTGCCAATTAACTGGCCTCATTAATTTGTAACTGAAACAAACCAGGATTCGGGCAAAGAATTACTAGAGGCAAACTGCTAGCCATGATGGGTGTTCGATGTTCATCAACATTTTGCTACGCAAACCAACATAACTGAGAGGACTCTCAAAAGTTTTGCGAAATCAATGTAATTCCCTAAGTCTGATCCTCAGCTAGTACGAAACCGTTCTCATGCCAATTCGCTCTCTGACTGAGACTCAGCATTGCTCAGGTGGTGCGCAGGATGGCGTCCAAAAATGCGTAAACAGATTTGTAAGACAGTTTGTTTAAAGGAAAAAAAAGAGGTTTTCCCACTCTGCTGATACTTTTGAAGCTTGGTTCTTTTGTTCTGTTCTTAGATTCTTTGCCATTTTGATTCCATGGAAACCAGTGTGTTCCACCACGCCTATATACCTGGGTAAATACAATACTGAATTAATCATTAGAGTCCAACTTTTCTTTATGCTTAAGAGCCTTTTTACATGGGAAAATTGATGAGAATCATTCTAGCAGAATAATTTATACTGGTATGGCTTTGCTGATGTAACATTCCAGGTAGATGTTTTAATTGGGAGTAATTATTCCATTTCCCTTTATAGATGACTCCTGTATAGATAAATCCCCTTTTATAGTTATAGGCAAAGCAAATTACATCTCATAATTACATTTACACCAAGTTTAAAGCATTCGTAGGATGGACAGGAAATATAATGGGGCCATAGTGTAATTGAGAGTGCAACCCTTAAAAACCTATTTGTGACAACTATAATCAAATTGTTGTCTGCTGTAATATTTTCATTTCCTCTCATTCCAAAACAACAGAGGCATTAAGTCTGTTTAAAATAGAATGTTTTGAAGGTCTAGCACCAAAATACGTACATTGATTCATGCAGGCTAAGGAAGCAAATGCAATTTGTCATATTTTAACAGAACTGTGCCCAGTCTGTAGGTAACATCTTCCAGTGCCAGATTCAGCACTGTTGTAGTCAGGCATCCTGGGGACTTTGTGACACAAAAGGAAATTTGACTTCATGATATCAAGGCTAAACTTGGCTCCCCAATGCTTAGAACCATCCTGAAGGCATGATGCTCCAAATAATTAATCTTGCATAATATTGAATAAATGTGTATAGGACACACTGGCTGAATTCTTGTAAATCTGTTCTTATTGGCATACTTTTTCCATAAAAAGATGGTTTTCCACATTTGGCAGCAGTCCTGTTCAAAAGCATCTATGAGCTGTAACAATACAAAAGACTGTGCTTGGTTTCCAGTCGCTATTTCCCTCTCTTTCTGGCCATTGTCCACTCACCTGCCCTTCCCCACCTCCCCCCTCCCAAAGAAAAAAAGCCCTTACCCTTAATATAGACCGGGGTGTTTGGCAAGCGTTTACTTCTCAGTTCTTAACCCTGTTGGTCATTTGAAAACAAAGTCCTGACTCAGTGTGAAATTAACTTATATGCATAACATTTGAAGTGACGGCACAAATTCCCGCTGCAATGAAGGGCTATTCACTTCAGTGAGAATCGGCAAATGGATTTGTAGCAGAACAATGTGCTTTTCTGAAAACTCTCGCTTCCATTCGAATGGATGGGATGGGGCCTCACTAGCGATGCTTTGCGCACCACCACCCGTTATGACCCTTCAAAGTAAAAAAACACACCAAACCAACCCCAAACAAAACCTGCCTTTTTTTCCATGCTCTTCCAGCTGGATGAAATATTTAGCCTGTTGTTACACAGAGTTTCTGCGATTTGCTAACAGGTGGTTGTGTTTCTACATTATTCCTCCAGCTGAAGTCGGAATAGTTGTGCCTCTGGCCATGCCTCAGCAAAACTGCAGCCGGAGTTACTGTGTTAGGTGCCGTATGGAGAAAAGTGCCTGTCCAATTCGTTGTCTAGAAAGGCATGGAAAAGCATCTCTGCAGGCTGTGCTGCAGGCGTGATTGACAGTGGTTCCAGCAGGACCAGAGAACGTGGGCTGCATATTTATGTGCGTGTGTCTCCTGACCCAGCGGTGGACTGATCGTCCGTGATCATGTTTGGGAAAGACTCAGACAGCTCCCCAGAAGGCACACAGTTGTGCTTATCGCTGGTGCATTATGTTTTTCGTGGTGTTGGATACACTTACGAATTTGGGGTAGAAGGATGCTCTATAGCCATCACGGTTACTAAGATATGACTAAGATTAAGAATATATTTTAAAGTTGGATTATTCTCATGTTTCCCAGCTCTTTGCATACAGTATAGTGCAAAATGGTCTGGGCTGTCATCTCTCAGAAAAATCTATCATAATATTTTGATGTACATCTTAAGCAAGCTTATCCAAGAATAACGTACATACAGTTGCATGGTATATAATATTTTTAAAATCCAGTTGCCCGTTACTTTGCTTATTAAAGATGACATACTTAACTCTTGTTTCTATCAAAGACTATCCCTTTAAGGAGAAATCTGAGTGACTGACTCCCTCTTTCTTGCAAATTATGGTTAGAAAACCGTGGTTCTCTTGCACACGGAGTGACCCTGCTCTCACATGTTTGTGCAAGAACATTTATGTGTCTCAGTAAAGTCCCAAAGGTCAGGCTTTTTCTCCACAAAATAGTAATGCAGTTACCGACAATAATCACCATCAATATCATATTTCATACGCATGGTCAGGAGTATATACCATCCACTCTACAATGCAGCTGAGATTCCTGTTGTCTCGGCCAAGAGGTTTAAGACTCCCAGCCAACTAAGTAAATTCCTTATGCATTTCTGACAGAGAAAAAATAGTAAGCGAGGAAATGGTACAATTTCCAGTTACATCTCTCTGATTACCACTTAACTCATTGGAAAAGAGGACAGAGATCTTAAGGATCCCTCTTGGAAGAGTATTTGCATGTCAGACAATGCTTCCTCTGTTTTCTTTCTGCTCTGCTTCCCTTTACTGCAGTCTCTTGCTCTCCCTCTGTATGCCTGTTTTCTTGCCTTTCTCTCTTCCTCTTTTAACTATTTAGCTATACTGATACAGAATTGTGATATTATATACTATTAAATACAAAAGACCCTTGGTTCGTGTGTATCTGTGTGAACAAATGCACGGTTTGTGTATTTTGTTCTGAAACTGCATTTCTTTCGAGGCACAAGCGTTAGATAGTTAAGATGAGCAAAAAGAGAGCGCAGGAAGGCGAGAGAGAGAGAATCATGGAGGGAATGGGTAGATAGGAGAGTGCCCATCCACTTGGGTGCCAGTTGGACATCTCTTCACTGCAGTCCCGCTTCCCTACCCTCGGCAGTGGTCTCTCCAGCATTGGGCTGAGTTTGGTCCCTCCCCTGCATGGTGTAGTGGTGGAGAAGGGAGGATGACTGAAAATAGTCCTGGTTCAGCCCTGTGAGAGGATTCTTGCTGTCCCCATAGAAGTTTCTCTCGTGACTAAAGAAAGCCAAAATGAATTTTCTTTTCTACAGGGTCAAAAAGAACAAATACGAGTTCTTGGAAAAAAAATGTATATCCTAATGAGGTCACAATTTTATATTGCATACCTACATTTCACAGTGAGATTTTCATTGTCCCGATTCACTGACATGATCCCAGCCCCAGCAGGAGGTTAGTTCTTGATTCAAGGAAAAGGGAGTTTTAACATTCATTTTAATGGGAACCTTTATTCATTTTTAGTATCTGCACTGTTACACCAGCTTCACTTAATTATGGGAGAAGAAGCAGGGTTAGAATTCCCTGGAGGAACTTACTGTTTTTTCTTTTTAGACTTACTCTCTTCATCTTCTCAACTGCACCTCCCTTCGTCTTTTCATTTTCCTTGAGAGTGCTTATTCTTATTCTTAGAAATGAGCACATCTTGGTGAGATATGAACTACTCCAAATGGTGTAATCTTACTGCTTTGCTTTTCTTCTTTTCTACTGTCTTTTCCTCTGTGGATTGATTGTTAAATACAGCGGGTTTTCCACAGTATGATGAGTGGAGTACAGAAAACCAAAGGTTGTGCCTGCCTGTGTCCAAGGGATACAGCTTGGATATGTAATATAGTAGTCCTGCGGCTTACACCCACATTTTGTACTTGCAACCATATTAGCTTCTGCAAATTCAAAAGCCAGTGTAAGATCGAAACATGCCGTGGTTTACGAAGAAAAAGTCACCTTATGATACCTGTAAGTTTCTGCTGTATGAAGCCTGTGTTCATTGCAGTTTATATTATACCATTTTTGAATATCTACAAAACTTACTGTCAGCCTGAACCTAAATGAAGGCTTCAGTCTCTGAATGATTTTTTGAGCACATTTTAAGTCACTTGCAGATCAAGTCTTCTAAAACTTTGGGTGGCAGAGGAGTGCATATTAATTTTAGACAGCTATTTTTAAGCCTTTACATGTATAATTGAATTCAGAATTTACCCTTCTACTTTCAATCTGAGAAGAGTAGCCCAAAATGCACCTACACGCTTTTGATCTTTGGAAAAAAAAAATGTAAACTGAAGGAACCTTATTAAACTTTAAAAACAAGTCTCTGTGCACAAAGAGTGCTTCATTTCTACACAACTTTTTAGTAGAAGCTGTTACAAGCGTACAGAAAAACTCTAAAGCTCTGCTCTAACCTGGGCACTCATTGGTCTGTCCCAAGGTGTGTCTTTACACGAAGAGAAGTGCCCAGGTGCACATCGATGGTGTTACTGAGGTGGATGACTTCATCTACATAAATATCTTGCAACACTTCAACTATTCTCATATACAAGAGAAAACTGCATTTGTAAAGAGGTGAATTCCCTTATTCTTGTAAGGAAAAAGAATGCCTTTATTGATAATAACTGCACTTAAATTGCAATTATGTAACTGTTTTACCTA